TATCGGAGTTGGTGCTCTCGATATTGTGCGTCCACGGAGTAACATCTCCTATCCAGCCCTCGACACCCCCACGACCCTGCACACCGTTCGGCCTCCACAACATGTCCCACCCCACGGAACCAGACGCACTACAGCAAGCATGCATGGCGCTCGACGCCTATGATCTCGCTCAACTCCCGCCTACGCCGACCTGGGGTGCGCAGAGAGACGCGCACTCGGTGAACTCGGAGAGGGCAGACTACCCCTGGGGAGAGCCAGAGCACCTGCCATTCCCCCAGGTCGAGGTTCTTACGCTGAACGAGCCCACGCCAGAGGGCAAGGTCAGATTCCAGGTAGTGACGAGACAGCCCATAGAGGGGCTGTTGAAGTGCAACGGCGACAACGACGTCAACGTTGACCTGCACTTGCTCGTGCGTGGCGAGACCGGTGGACTGCGCAGCACTTCGGTACGAGGCTTACAGGACATATATTGACTGTAGCTAACCGGTTCCTGGCAGATCGAGTTCCCCCGGAGTCTGGCAGAGGTACGGGGCGCACGCGACGAGACGTGGCTCGAGGAATTCGAGCGTGTACTCGATTGGTTCCCGGAAATGGACGCCGAACAGCGCCAAGTCCTCCTGGAGACGGTCTACATCTACGATTGGTTTCATCGCGCCGAAATCAACGACGAACTGGGCATCGTTTGGAGGGACTTTCAAGGCGCGCGAACGAGTGCTCTGTTAGGAAGCTGGTTTTCGCCTGTTCGCGCGGAGGAGATACTGAGTTGGCTGATTGAATGGGCACAGACGAGGATCCCGGTGCGTGACCACGATCGTAGCAATATCTTTGCTGAGACTAACGACTAGGAATTGCAGTCCGCCTTCCCCGTTCAGGCAGACGGCTCGGTGCAATCCAGCGACGTCGCGGACACGGACGATATCGCCCTTGGTGAGCAAGTACCCCGGGCACAAGATGGCCACTGAACGGGTCTGCGCGAGCTGAATCTGGAGCGACGGAACCCGAGGGTATATCCAAGGAACGCGTGCTTGTATTTGTGGATTGCTTGATGTGCGCAACTAGCTACGAATAGTGATGATGTCGGAGTCTTTAGTAAGTTCCTAGAGGCGACCGGTCTCATCGCACGCCTGAGCGGGGTGGTGGAGCGCGACCGGAGAGCAGAATCTTGAGGAGGGACATGCATGGAATGAGGAGGGAGCCCACGCTCGTGGAATGCCAGGGCGAAGGTGAGCGCGTCGCGTCTCCTATGTAGTGTACCACGTGACCGTGCAGTCAAAGAGCGCCCGCGTGAGTTGGTGACCCTCTGCCGCCCTGGTGGTATTCACGCACCACCGACACTCGTTGTCAGAAGGCGTGCAAATGCGCTCTAATACCGCGTTTTATTGCTCTCATAATTCCATGGGGTAGAGTGAGATTGCACTGAGTGGAGGCGCGCGTCACACGGGCCAAATTCGGCAGAGTTCGGCGCACTTTGGCGCACCGACGCTTCGGTGCGGGCGACTGCACCGAGCCAACGGGTCCGGGTGATGCGGAAGTCCGTATAGGGCTCAGAACGCGATGTCCTCAATCGCTCGCCACTGGGCTCACATCTCGACCGCCATGCGTCACAAGGTATCCGCCATCCGCTGTGCCGAGCACCCCAAGCGCCTACTCTGCTAGAGTGCTCGACAGACTCTGAGGTCGTCGAATGATTTCACCATGCCGCAAGCATACGATAAGGAGCTCGAAGGAGGGGTGGCAAGCAGACGGACGGAAGCAATTACGGGAAGGGTAAGTTGCAGTATTCTCCCGTAGCTCGAACCAGCTCAAAATCAGGACAGTCGCCGCTGCAGCACTCAGTATTCAAGACGGTCACAGGGTGAAGTTTTCTCCAAGGCGGCCGCGGTTGGTTCTTCCAGGCAGCCTGATATGGGACGCAGCGCGCACCTGCCGAGGTGCGGCGAAGAGGAACTCACAGTATGGCTCGGGCGGACTTCTGACGCATGTCAGGGGTGACTGGGTATTCGAATGGGGTGAGTCATTTTTAACCTCATGCGCCAACCTTTCGCGTACAATGCTGAGCTGCACGCCGGTGTATGCGGAGCAGTCCTTTGCCCTCAACTCCCACTCCCACTTGCCTCTGCGCGCCACGACCTCGCCTCGCACATGGACAATTCCCCGCACAACCACCGGAGGGATCGCTACGAGTGGTGGGAGGACTACTACCACGTCTTCGAGGTGAGCCCGCCGCGCTCAGAAGACCAAGCGCCCTCTCCAGAACGCCTCGATCCTGCCCAGGAAGAACACGTCGTGCAAGAAATGTTGATAGACCTTGCGACTCAGGACTATCTGCCCCCTAGGGACGGCCCGGAGGAGCAGGAGGAGAAGGAGGAGGACGAAGACTTGGAGCACATCGGGAGCGGTGTTTCATTCGAGGAGGGGGAGCTTGCGGAGCACCATCT